ATACTGTTTTGAGAACTCTCATAAGAATAGTATTTTTGCTTATTGGATTTTTTATTCTAGTAAGAGATATAAATATTTTGGTCTAACATAAAGCCTTTTTTGTGAAAATACTGATAAAAAATGTATATTCATATATGTATTATGGAATATTATAAATTAATTCTACATTTACCGTATGTATATATAAAGTTGTATCTAGTTGTGAAAATAGGAATCAAGATATGATCAGCACTGATGGATGACCCGGGGAAGTGAGTCTGATGCCGAAACATCCAAAATCCTTGACGATCTTGGTTATAAAACATCAATGACGACACCCATCTCGGATAGAGTATTTTGCAACGTTATTAATATTATAATAATGTGAGTTAGATATTCTGAAACTAATTGGATAAAACAAATGTTTCCTTAACTAGTACAAAATTGAACTTCAAATCGAGCGTCCAGCAAACACGTTTCCTGCATCGGTTTATCGATAATACCTAAGGCATATAATTAATTTCACAACGCTAATAAATTTAGATTATTTCAAATTTCCCGAAGAATGAGAATTCGGAGTTCCCGCCTGCAGAATCTCGCGACCATCCGACGTAAATGTTTAATGCTACCTGCTTGGTCACCAGACTGAAAACTAATGAGAAATTACATTGCGATCAAAAAACATAATTCATCGCAGCGTCGAAAAAACATGTCGGTGAATGGAGATTGGAGATTAAGAGATGAAACAATAAGGACATTAAACAAGAACTCTAAGCGGTGAAAAAAAAAAAAGAAATAAAAGAAAGATAAAAAGAAAGAAAGAAAACAGCATTGATGGAAGAAACAGAAGAAGAAACAAAGAAAAAATGTATAAAATCCACGTAAGTTTATCTAAAATTTTTCAAATTAATTTTCTTTCCTTCTTGCGTGGAATCAATCACTAACTTTAATTTTAAATTAAAGTTCGCTTGAAAAAAACAGATTTGTTTCACAAGTGTTTTTTTCTATTATTTTATTTATTAATCTATTAATTTTTTGCTCATTGCATTGTCTTTGTACTAATTTTTTAACTCATTTGATTTCTTTCTTCCTTTTGCACTTTTCTTTGTTGTTTTTTAAATTTTATTACACTTAAAAACATTATTTAATTATAAACTTTAAAACATTATCCTCTATTATTTTAAAACTTTTATAACTATTTGTCTTTGCCGTTATAGATTTTTTACTTGGGAAATGCAAGACAACTTAGCGTTTACCGACTCGGAAAAACGGAATTAGCAAAATGGTTAATATTCTGACTGAGATGTCTCTTATATTTTCCTCGCACTAATGGCCTTGTTAAAGGCATTAATTGTAATCCGCGATCCCAGTCCGTACATATCTGCTTGAAAACACCAAGACTTCTTATCTTAATAGCTAGTATCATTAGTAAATTATTAAATTATAAATCAAATCTAGAATTTGCAACTATTTTTCAAGCTTAATAAGTCAACTTGTATATTGTCATTTAAGACAAAATTTTCCACAATATTTTGAATTTCTTGGGATTTTATTTTTGCGAATTCGTCTTTCATATTTTTTCTACACTGTGCGACGAAATTACCTCCCACTTTTCAAAGTTTGACAAAAAACAAAAACAAAAACAAAAAAACAACTGTTATTAAAGAAATATCTCACTGTTGTTTAAACAATGGGCTACAGTTTTTATTCATTTCGGGGTATTCGCCATGTACTATTGCAGAAGATTTCTAAAGTTTTCCATCATGCGGAAGTTCGAGTGCTTCGAAGTCTTCGAGGTGGATTTCTTTTACCTCGGTATCCATGCCCCTGATATTTCCAACCATTAGCAGTCTCGATTTCCCATCCAGAACAGCATCATTCCGACGTAACATGAAATGAACACGAAAAAAATGTCTGTCTTGCAATTACAGATTCACCAATCTATAACAATAGTTTCAAGAACAAACGAAGGGTGTGCACTGATCCAAACCATGATAGTATATGATGACATAAAGGATAAAACATTAGCTAGATAAAGACACCTTTGCTACATGCCTAAATTCATTAGCACCACACAGGTGACAGTTTAAAAAGGGGAAGTAGTTCTGCCACACACTATATTTTCACTGAAAATATTTCTCTGATGAGTTCTTACTTACCTTTTTTCACCTGAAATCCTTTTTATCTATTTAACTAATTCCAGCTATATTTAACTGGAATCCTTTTTTTTTTGCCAGTTCCTTAATTATTTTCAGCGTAATTGATGCTTGGAGGCAACATTAAAATTTTCCAATAAATCACTATTAAATAAACAAAATAGCTTAATTATTAAGCAAGAAAGCAAATTACGTACAACCCCCTGCCCGAAAAAAAAGCAAACAAGTAAAATACAAAAACAAATTTAGATACTGCAAAATTACATTGTGAAGAAAATTTATTTTTAAAATATTGCCTCGGGTTGAACCTCACAGTGTAATATGAGGCGTGAGTCAAATACGTCGTCGGTTTTCCCGTGCGAAATATGATCTCTACAAGACGTGCACAATGCCAGACAAACGGAGAAGCAAACATTTATATAAAAACACATTTTACATTTCTCTACGTTTTAGATCTGCTACATAAACCTAAATTAATATACGCATATAATATCACTGTTTCTCCTAAAAATACAATGACACATTTTATCTTTCTTAAAAATAATATGTCTAAGAAAATCATAGATATTTTCTCTATTAAATGGTTTTCGTTTTGACACTCATAGATCCAAACAATCGACTAAACACATGATCTTCAGAACAGTTTTTCATTAAGCTCTGAAACTCATTAAAATGATTAACTTAAAAGTCGATCGCACTTTCCTCATTTATCTGTTATTCTAACCCAGAAATTTAAAACCAGTTTTTTTGCTCATGCACACTTTTCCGCTTAATTCAGAATGTCTCCTCTATTTTTGTCTCATAAAAGTTATTGTTAAATTGTACTTTGCATAAAACTTAATAGTCTCAAATTCTGCGGTTCCAATTCTCTAAGGAACCTGTAAAATTCCACACCCCCATTAGAAAATTCTCTCTCCCATCAAAGAAACAATAATCTAAGCTAAATGCACTGAATTCCTACCAGATATACTGCCTTTTCCTTCTGAATATAAAATACTGTTTCCTTCAAAACATTAGCAAATATCGACAGGCTTTTGAAAGTCCTCAGATAAATTGCTTTTATTATTCGATTCATTAAATCTGAATTTAACTTTATCGATACCAACGCAATGTTCCAGTCGACATATTCTTCGACCTTCCATTTTTCATTGAGGAGCCAACCTGAAGCATTTCCATGATTTCGGATATTTTCAGGCATATTTGCTGCTTTTAACACAATATTATTTCGGCATATAAATGTTTATTTATCTTGTGTGCATGTTTTTCTCAGTAATTTTAATCCTGTTTTGGATTTTATTCGTACTTCTCGTTGTATATCGAGTGCTGACAATATCCTCAAATTGTAAAGTTTACCGCAGACGACACAAGGTGCATTTTGTCTTCGGAGCGACATACTTACACTGCCTAAAAAACAAAATTCTAAAGAAAGCATTCAGCATGAACAAATGCTATACAGCAAAAACAAATGCAATAAAAAAACTTGTCTTTTATTGGGGAACTAGTCATATCGGCATTCGCGGAAATGGAAATGCAGACATAGAAACAAAGCAATCCTTAAGAATGAAGATTTCAAATTTGAAAATGACCTATACAGATTTCAAATCAACTATAAATTAATCTGTCCAGTTTTGTTCCTGTGTATTTCGAGAAAGTTTAAAATATTCTCCCAACGTAAGTCTCCCTTATGTTCGCAGATGCAAGCTTTCAGATTCCTAGACGTCTCGCCAATTTCACTCTTTCTACATTGTAAGATTTTATTTCCGAAATCTCGGCATCTATGTGGTGTTGGGTGTATTTTTCGTCCTATATCTATATTCTGTCTCTTATAGATATTTACATATTTCCGATTGAATGGTTGTAAAGATCATAGAGTTGGGTATAACTAATTTATTTTCAAATTTTGTAGATAGAGTCTTGGAGGGTAAGATTATGAATTTTGTGTTTTTGATATTAGAAGTGCTCTTCGTGGTGTATACTTTTAAGGACTTGTGGACTTTGTATGTTCAGTTTTTAGTGTTGAGGATTAAATGACTTGGGTATTGAACAAAAAAATTTTTTCAATCTATTCCTCCTCTTCACCTGGGTTTTCTGTTTTCTTTATTTGTGTGTATGCTTAAATAATGAATAATAAGTGCCATCATTCAGTATTTAAGCATGCCCCAAATACAGATATACACATTTTTCTTTCTTTCGTTTTTGATTGATGAATCATTTTCAAGAAAAAGTTATCATTCGTAAATTTTATTAAAAATATTGTTGGGGTTTGATATCATATTTTGAACACACACACACACACACACATATATATATATATATATATATATATATATATATATATATATATATATATATATATTTACTAGAAATACGGTGAAAAAAATTTAAGCCCGTGTAATTGTAAATTCTAAAATTTGGTCAGATATGTGGAAGTAGGTCAAGCTGAGAATTCTTCATATATATATATATGTGATGTTTTATAGATACGCATTGTATATATATATATATATATATATATATATATATATATATATATATATATATATATATATATATATATATGTATGTATGTATGTATGCGTGTGTGTGTGTATGAGAGAAATAGAGAAAGAGAGAGAATATGATTTTGCTGATAGGTGGAGAAAAATAATTATTTGCGTTGCTTGATGGGTACCTTTTTTATTTGTTAGCTGAACTCTTGTAAACGGAATAATGGGTTGATCAGTGGGAGCCGATCAGATTGTGTACACGGAAAGAGTGAGTCTGGAAAACATCGTTGATCGCTTGCTATGCTTGGCTTAGCAATTTCAAAGCCAACTTGTGTCGTTGGTACTTTAAAGAGGCAAGAGAGAAACATTGGAAAAGAGTCTAAGAAAGAATAGAAAGAAAATGAATCCGAAGAAGAAAGCGATTTAATGAAAAGAAAAGGAAAATAGAAAGCAAAAGATGGGAAGAAATAGAAAAATAAAAAGAGAAAATGAAGAAAATTGAAAGTTGTAGAGAAATTAATATGAGTAATAAGCAAATGGTAAGCATAAAAGAAAGAATGTAAAAGAAGAAAGAAAGAAAAGATGAACTAATAAATAGCAAATGAAAGACAAAAGTGAATGAAATGAATGAACTAACGAACCAAAGAATAAATATGAAATGCAACATGGAATGAAAAAAGAATAAAAAGGAGAGGAAAAAAAAGGTGAGAAAGTGTGTGGTGGGGCAGTAATGGAATTTATAAGAACTATAAAATTGGAAGAAAAATGAAATTGGTTGATAAAGAGTCGAATTGTAACAGTTTTAAAGAAGATGATAAAAATAGAGAGAATACGAAGAGAAATGTTATTGAAAGGAAAAGACAGAATGAAAAACATAAAGAAAAAAAGACAGAAATAAAGAAAGAGAGACAGAAAGAAAGAAAAAAGAAAGAGAAATAGAAAGAAAGAAAGAAAAAAGAAAGAGAAATAGAAAGAAAGAAAGAAAAACGTGATCGGTATTGGGCCAGTCTTTGTGATTAATGATTCTTTGGTCGATCGAACGCCTAAGCAAACCTCTTTAAGAGTCAACGCGGAATACTAATTGCACACCTAGGGAGAGGAGAACGGATGTTATTGGTGGCCCTCCCTCCTTTCTTGATGGTAACATGACGTTGAAACCATATGCCCCCTACCCAACCCAAGATAAACTCTCACTCCAGTCTGTCACTGGTATCTGCTTCTTAATATCAAACCAACAAGGTAGTCGATCAGACCCAATAATGGCTGGGCAATGTACTTGGCCTCTACAGTTAAAGAACTGCACACAAACCTCTTGTTAAGCTTTAGTATACTGCACCTAGAGGGAAATTAAATATTGTCCCTGGAAAGACATTGTTCCAAGTGGCAATGTATAGTAAGTAACGTCGTTGTGAGAATTAACATTGTAAACTTAGTCATCTGGAGGCGAAAAGAAGCTTGGCATATTTGATTAGTGGTACTTGAAGATAAGAAAAGTTTAGATAATTTTTAAAATCGATAAGATTAGAATAGCACAAGTATATGAGACCCAGTAAGGACGAAAACCTCTTTATAAAAAGAAATAACATATATTTGTTTATTCATTTAAATCTAGTTAATACGGTCATTGGAGAATTCAGCAAGTCTGTCTCTTTGCGCCAATTTTTGGAATTGAAAAAAAATGTAATAATTAATTATTTCCTTATTATTATTAACAAGCTTATAACCAATTAAATATGCGGGTCTATATTTCTGAGACGAGGTGTTGTAAATATTTACACTATTTACATTCTTTGGACTGTTGTCCTCATCTTTTTTATCATATTCACGACGTTTCGGTCGTTGTACGCCCCGGCCTTCTTTAGGTGATTGGTTCGGTTCGATATTCCAATCATGTGAAGAAGGTCTGAGCATACAACAACCGAAACGTCGTGTATATGATAATCCGACAATATAAGTTGTGTAAACTATATATGTTGTTGACAATTCCAGACATAAAATACTATTCTAAACATACAAAGAAGCTTTATCCTTTCATAAGAAAATTGCTTTTTTCTGAAACACATCAGAAAAAAATCCTCTATGAAGAGCCGATAATGAATAATTCAAATTTGCTTTGTTCATTTTCATTTCATATGATCTGTCATAAAGTTTCCTGTCATAAAGGTGTCTGTCGTAAATATGCTTGCCATAAAGGTGCCACTCATACAGGTGCCTGTCATAAAGGGGCTTGACATAAAGGGGTTTTCTTAAAGATGCCTGTCATAAAAGTGCATCTGATAAAGGTGCCTGTCATAAATGTGCTTTTCCTAAAGATGACTCTCATAAAGATGCTTGTCACAAAGATGCCTGTCATAAAAGTGCCTGTCATAAAGGTGCCTGTCATAAAAATGCCTGTCATAAAGGTGCCTGTCATAAAGGAGCATTTTATAAAGGTGCTTGTCCTAAAGATGTCTGTCATAAAGGTGCTTGTCACAATGATGCCTGTCATAAAAGTGTCTGTCATAAAGGTGCCTGTCATAAAGTTACCTGTCATAAAATTGTTTGTTAATGCCAATGGGGGAAATGAATCCATTTTCTTGGTGTAGCGTTTTGATAATTATTTGACACGTATTGATAATTATGCAAATTCAGTGTGAGAAAAAAATTGAGAAGATGCAAGTGTTGAGTAAACAGCACCAAAACATCAAAAGACAGGCTACAGAAAAAACTGGAAGAAATCGAAAACATAAAAGTCAAATATAAATGCGTCAATAACAAAGAAATCATATATTTTCAGTCTGTTCTATATTTGTATCTTATTCAAGAAGATAATGAAAACAGACTTTTATTTTCATGACCTGCTGGCGCCTATTCTGCCCATAATGGTACATACGATAAAATATTGAAATATGAATGAAAATTAAGGAATACAGAAATTCGAAATATAACTTATATACACAAACACAGTTACATGTTTTATATACATTTCCTTAATACTGAATTTGTGCTTAGTTTAAAACTGTATTTGAGTGATTATACAACACAATGTATTTCATTTTAACTTCAAGGCATAATCTATTCTTACGCTTAAAATGAACGTATATATATATATTTTCCCTGACGATCCGTTTAGGTGAAACCTAGGTAGGTTTGTCTGGCTCACTATATATATATATATATATATATATATATATATATATATATATATATATATATATATACACGTTGCTTGGTATAACCAGGACAGCCACTCGGACCCAAATTTTAATTTATTGTTTTATCCTAATAAATAGGAATCTAGTGTATTATTTTTACAAGTTTCCTAATCAGGACAATTTCTTATATTTGACGATAATTTCTAAAATTTGAACTTTATATACACTTCTTTACTTGTATGTACAATTTTATTAAACCAGCTATGAATTGATTTCGAAGAAATTTATATTTTGAACCATGAAAGATGTAATCCATTGTATTGCGATTAATTTTAAGGACATTCATTCAGGAAGAGATGGAATGATTACTTTTATCAAGGAAATATTTTGCAAATTCTTGACAAATGAAATATTTTGCTTTCATAAATGTAATTGCACATCAAATGGTATATGGTAATATAATCAACTCCGGGGTTAAAACAATTAAGTTCATAGTTTTTGGATCTCAGTAGAAGAAAATAAGTGTCATTCAGGTGACCCGCGAAAGATTTATTAGTTAGAAATACAGCAGAATGTTCTAAATTTTAAGCAATAAAACAGTGATGAAGAAATCATATACATATATATGTAAAAGAATCATATATATATATATATATATATATATATATATATATAATTGAACAAGTATAAAAGGCTTGTCACTTAGCTGATTAATGTTTCATTTCAACATCCCGACTTCAGAGTTTCCTAGAAGAACCATCCGGGAATTACTCCGTCCACTCGTCAGTGATATCAGCAATTCACTGCTTATTCTTCACGATTTTTCATTTTTATAGGCACTTTTCATTGGTGCAACTTTTTCTTATAGCGTGTGTGTGTATTTCCGTTCGTGGGGGTGTCTGCGCGTATGTGCTTCCGAGTAAAATGTCGTGCTTATTTGTCTTTTTCGTCGTTTTTTTTTTTTTACGTTTTACACCGACTGCTTAAGCTCTTCTCTCGTTTTCCTTCAATTGTAGACATTTTGATTCCAGTTTTCTAGACATATATTATCGTTGTTCATTCTCGACATTCATTCATATATATATATATTTCTCCAAAATAGAAGATAAAATTTTATGAAACCTAATAGATCGAAAGGTATCACCTATCGACAAATTAATCAAATCAAATCCATTACTTTCTATAAAACATTGGAAGAATCTAACATAATCGCCAGCAATGAAACAGATAAAATCAAATCCTCCATAAACCAAGTGTTTTCTTTGAATTCCTTATCTACTGGGATATTGGCACTCTAAAACAATAAGATTACAAACATGACATATCTTCACTATCAATTCACTATATTATCGCACTTATTAACTTCCTATTTATTCGACAATTACTCATGAGTGCAGCCTAACGCTCATTGGTAACAGACTTGTTAAAGCGGATCAGAATACAGATAATTCCACATTAACACACGCTACAACGTCATTATCAATCACATCATCCTTTACAAATAGTAAATTCACAACCATCACAATGCTTTCGAAAAATATATGGGGGATTAAAAATAAAAACCAAATTACACTGAAAATATCTTGAAAAATAAGGATAACGTCACCAGCCGTCAACAATTGATTTAAATCTTTAAACATTTTTCTGAAGGAGAAAATAGCAATAAATAATCTTTCCAGACAAATTACTAATTAAGCGATCAGAGCTGACCTCAAGATGCATACAGAAAAAATATTTTTTTACTACTTTACTTACAAATGGAAAAATAAAACCAAATACCTTGTAAAATCTTACCATAAAGATGTATTTCGCTATATAATATATTGCTGGTAATTTTAATATAAAACGTAATTTTGGTAATTTTGTATAAAATATATTGGTAATTTCTATACAAATATGTATTGTTGGTAACTTTTTTATAAAAATTTATTAATGATAATTTTACGATAAACACGCTTTTGTTTTGTTTCGTTTTTAATTGTTTTGATATTTGTTTGCAGTTTTTTGATCTCGTACGATTCATTCTCTCTCAGATGTTTGTTGTATTTTTATTGATTGGTTATATTTTCTGAGGGACTTTCCGGATACATTACTTTGGGAGTTTTTGCAGGATTGGTTTTGTTTAATGGAGTTTGCTTTAACCGTAGATTTTGATTATTGTATAACTGCTATTTGAGCCCTAGAAAAATGTAGGTCCAAAATATATTCTTTCAATTTCTTTAGCATTTCATTTTAGCAGCTTTAAGACGAAGATGTTCTTCTTAAGTGTTCCTAGAACTTTAGCCAGTCGTTTGGTACTAGCCTCACCAACTGCTCGATGAGTGTTCTATATTTGTCTGTTTTGTTGTTATTGCTGAAAATTGGCTTCACCTTCTGAACTACATTGACATAGGTATAGCCTTTCATATATAAATCCACTATTTTTCTTGCTAGTAGGAAAGATATATCTCTTGCATACTTCACCCCCTATACAGCTCTCTTTGTGATGCCCATTCTTCTGACACATGAAACACCTCATTGGGGATGGATTGATCAACCTTTTCAATTGTAAATCCAATTTTTATTTCTTTTGGGATTGAGGGTTTATTAAATCTTAAGATATATGTACGTGGTTGAATTTATTGCTCATCCATTTTTATACTTGTCTTTCTGTAGTTGGTGACCCCTTGCTTATTTAAGATTTATTCCTTTGGTGTAGCCAGGGATAGCTCTCTATTTTCTGATAATTCCATTTGAAGTCTTTCGTGTTGGGTAAGATTTACATTTTAAATTGTGGAAAACTTCAATTTTAGTTATACGCATGTTTCCCATTGTTCACGTTTACAACTAGTCTCATATTTTCACTGTTCAAGGATTTACCCTGATGGTAATGATTTCTTCGATAAAAAATAGTTTTGAAGAAAGTAGTTTTCAATTATGTTTGTGGTTTAGTCGAACCAAAATGCAGCACACATTTCCCGAAGATTCCGTCTCGAAATGGTCCCGATAGACTCACTGAACTGGTTTCTAGTAT